ATGCTTGTGAAATTTTTCATCATTCTAGAAATGGTTGGCAGTTTATTGTCAAACGTTTCGGTATTGTCGTTGGGCAACGAATTATGGCAAACAATAAAATTTTTATTGCGTCTTACCAGTGTCTATTATTGTCTAGTATTCTTATTTCGTGTACTATGCAACCAACTTATTCCACGGTGATAGACTCCTCAACAGTGTGCGTTCACGATTCCGCACGTGGGGCTCGAACCCAACTCTTTTGGTCTCACACGCGAGCGAAATGCTGAGAAGTCTCATACTAGGACAAAACGACCGTATAGTACTTCCAGGTTTTCAATATTGGTCTAGCTTAGATAGACCTATGAATTCAACTATGAAATTATGATCGAAAAAGGTTAGTAAAATTATCTAGTAAAATTTGTACGAATAATCAAGCAGTGAAAAATACAGCCTGAAGGTTGTGGGAAATGACAAACGAATACAAGATGTGAAAAAACTGGTAAAATCATTTATTAAGTCATCTCCGGCTAAATAAGTTTCATGGTTGTCGTGAATTTCCACTGAACACATGGCTTCTGCTATATGAAGACGAAAAAACCGGACTACATTAGGAAAACGCGATATGCGGTGAATCGCTCGAAATGACTCAGTTTTATTGTGTCATGCAATCATTATCGACCAGGCGTATGTAGACAGATTTGGCCCTTGGCAAACAAAGATGGAGGAAGTTTACTCATTCGTTAGTTAAACTGCCTGGATGCTAGATCCCAAAAAAACACTTGGTAAACGTCTTATTTTTGGACTTTAAATTTTTCATTTACTCTCCAAAAGCGCCCAATTTTACTTTCAGACTGTATCTCCCGATTGAAAGTACCCTAAGCGCAACTAGTTAGTTCCCTATTTTGAATACGCCATTTTGTGAAGTTTCCCAAGGACGTTTTTATGCTATATATATATGTATATATATGTATATATACATACTAATAACTTAAGTCCGCCTGTAGCTCTTCTAGGGTTACTGCCGGTCCCAAGCCCGGGTAAAGGAGGAGGGTTGGGCATGGAGTTAGCGACCCCATCCCGTAGAAAAGCTAACTCGCTAAAAAAACGCTAACGTGAAAAAATAATTCAAACCATTTAAACTCTGTCCTGGGAGTTGAAGGAAGAATTATGACGCCTCAGGATGAAAGCCGAAATTTTTCGGAAGTCACGAGACCGATGCACCTTCTTACAACCAGAGCAACACCCTTTATGGATACATGAAACGTCCGGACAATGTGGGAGACAGGAAAGACTAGTCAAATAGCAATGAAAATGAGGAGATACCAAGTGGCAATATTCGGAATCAGCGAAACCCATTAGACACAAGCTGGACAACAAAAGCTAATTACAGGAGAGATGCTGCTGTACTCCGATCACGAAGGGGAAAATGCTCCACACAATCAGGGAGTTGCTCTAATGCTGTCCAGAGAAGCACGAAATGCATATGTAGGATGAGAATCTCATGAACCCAGAATCATCAAAAAATCATTTACAACAATGGAGGAGGGGATCACAATGAATGTTATCCGATGTTATGCACCCAACAATGGTAGCATAGATGATGATAAAGATTTGTTCTAAGAGAGTCTGTAATCAGTCATAGCAAAGTGGTTATGGAAGGACCTCACCATTCTGATGGAAGATCTAAATGCTAAAGTCGGAGCGGACAACACTGGATATGAAGATATAGTTGAACGACATGGACTAGTAGAGAGAAATGAAAATGGAGAGAGATTTGCAAATCTATGTGCATTCAACAAATTCGTTGTAGGCAGCACAATATTTCCACACAAACTCATACACAAAACTACACGGATCTCGCCGGACCAAACCACAGAGAACCAGATAGATCATATTTGTATCAACAAACAATTCAGAAGAACAATGGAAGATGTGAGAACCCGGAGAGGAGCTGACATAGCTTCAGATCACCACCAGGTTGTGGCCAAGATGAGACTGAAGCCAAAGAAACTCATGGACAAGAGAACATTATGGAAACTTCTTCGACACTATGGAGTTCCTGAAAAGATTGTCAACATCATCCAGAACTCATACGACGGACTTCAGTGCAAAGTCATGCATGGAGGACAGCTGACAGACGCATTTCCAGTAAGGACCGGAGTCAGACAAGGCTGTCTACTCTCCCCATTCCTCTTCCTTCTAGTGATTGAATGGATTATGAATAATTCGACATCTGAAAGGAAATACGGAATACAATGGACATGTCAGAATTAATTAGATGATTTGGACTTCGCAGATGACCTAGCCCTCCTCTCTCATACACACGAACAAATACTGACGAAGACAGCAAATGTAGCAGCAGCCTCTGCATCGATAGGCCTCCACATTCACAAAGGAAAAAGCAAGACTCTCAAATACAACACGGAGAACACCAACCAAGTCACCCTTGATGTAGAAACTCTGGAAGAGGTGGAAACATTCACGTAACTGGGAAGCATCGTTGATAAACAAGGAGGATCGGATGCAGATGTAAAGGTGAGGATTGACAAAGCAAGGGCAGCATTTCTACAATTGCAGAACATATGCAACTCAAAACAACTCTCAACCAATTTCAAGGTCAGAATCTTTAATACGAACGTCAAGACAGTCCTACTGTATGGAGCTGAAACGTGGAGAACTACTACGACCATCATCAGGAAGGTACAAGTATTTATAAACAGTTGTACACGCAAAATACTCAACATCCATTGGCCGGATACTATCAGCAACAGCGTTTTATGGGAGAGAACAAACCAGCTTCCAGCTGAAGAGGAAATTAGGAAAAGACGTCGGAAGTGGATAGGACATACACATACACCAATGTGCATTACAAGGCAATCCCTAACTTGGAATCCGGAAGGGAAGCAGAAAAGAGGGAGACCAAAGAACACATTACGCAGGGAAATAGAAGCAGATATGAAAAGGATGAATAGAAACTGGAAAGAACTGGAAAAGAAGGCTCAGGATAGAGTTGGATGGAGTATGCTGGTGAGCGACCTATGCACCTCGACGAGGGTTAACAGGCGTAAGTAAGTAAGTAAATATACTAATAATTCGACCTTTATGCACCATTTTCCATTACCAAATATAATAATCGCTTGATCAAAACGCCATTATTTCTCTACCATATGTTTAGCCAACGCATTCTCTTCAGTATGGTTTTTGGAAAAGCATAATGGCAATGTCATCTCGTTCTACAGTATTGAATTCAAGTCACTGAAATAATACTCTAATAGACAATCGTGCATGCTAAATGTATCGCTAACTCAAAGGACAAGTCAATGGGAGTTGGATTGTATATCACAACCTACGGAGTTCAAAAGTCTTCTGTGCAGTTCATCACATTGATTATGTGGACTCCGTAGACTTTTTACATTGTACTGATCAGGCGGTTATGCATGACTCAGTATCCCGAACTAATAATAATGATAATAATCAAAGCTATCATGTATTGTACCAGCTAAGAATACATACCGTTCTATTTCTTATGAACAGTTATTACTTATTACAATTAGGAGGAGGCATGTCTCCTGGTCAACGTCGCCAAAACTTTAGGTCAAATACTTCATGAATATATAAGGTTTGTCATGTTCGCGTTCAGTTCTTATTCTGATGTACACTTTCATACGACTGATTTATTTTCCAAATATGAAAATTCCACTACTCACAATATTCTTTCTAACTTTGATTCTGGTATGAACAGGACCCCTAATCAATCCACATTCCATCATAACCAATCACGCTTCTCATTTTTGTTTATGATAGATTTATTATCACCTCGGAATCAAATTTCTCTTTTTATTGCATTTTAAATTGGTCTCGATGTATATATTCTTGTTTTCATATTTTATGTTAGTTCTTATTTTATTTATATCTAACTGGCATTTTGATTTTTTGAGACTCATTTTAGCCAAGCTGGAGTTAACTTCTCATTTAAAAATATTTAATTCATTTGTAGGGCTAATAAAATGTCGTGGCCTTAGCCAAGTCATAGGACAGTCAGAACACCTAATATTGAACAGTTTACAATCCTCTTCAAAATCAAAGACAACCAAAGCGTACCAATGAATTGCACACCATGAACTAGCCTATATGACAGTGATCACACACTGTTTCTTGTAAAAATTCTTACAACTGTATTTTTGAAATACAGTTATGTTCGTTCCACACAGTCATCAAGGCAGCTGAGGGACCTGCATACGACGACAGAGTGATCGAATTTATGTATCGACTACGACGTGTAACTTTGACGAGGGCTAGAAGGTTATACCATTCCTGACCAATTCGAATAGGCCACCGGTCATTTACATAGAGGGCCTGCATCGGTGATCTACACGGTAAATTTTTCCAATGACTCCCTTAATTCAAACCCTGTAGAAATGTTTGCCTCATTCAAATTGACCTTCAACTTTAGTTTTCGTAAGTAATATTCAAACAAAACTACCGTGGTAATCCTTTTTTGCTGTGTGAGATTAGGATCAAGGAACATCATCTAGTTGAGTACATTCAAACTAACAAGGTCAGCAGCCATGGAAGTGAACACAAAACTACTCGTCATGATACGTGGTTTGTTTCTGCTTATTCCTCAAAATAATTTGTTAGCTTGTGATACTTTATGCTCTTTTCTATTTCAGAATCTAATATATGATGGAAACCGGCCTTCGACAACAATACGTCTACTTTCCTTAACACCGCTATAACAATAATGAATTCAAGGGTCAAACAGAAGGCTGGAAAGTGCCATAAAAACAGACAGTGGGACTTCTTCAATCCCACTTGAGCCCATTCGAGATAATTGACTAGCTAGAAATCTTAGAATTGACTACATATTATGCGTAACACCGTGACCAAGAAAATTGACGAGCGTCATTGAAAGTAATCAAACCATTTAAAAAACTATTTAACAACGATAAGTAAACACTAGGAAATCAATTGATTTATGCAACTTAGCCACTGGAATATTGGGTATTGAATTAAGCTGCGAGTTTTCGAAGCAATTTCGGAGGTAGCGTTACATCGCGTGCTTAGCGATTAATTTCCCTGAATCCATTCACTTCCAGGGAAAACATATTTCCGAATTTATATGTTTTCTCATTCTCATCGGCTGTCATATGTCAAGACCGCACTTAAATACTCAACGTATGCACATGGAGCATCACCAAGTAAGGATGCCAAATAAAATTTGCTTTAAAATACTAATTAAACCTTCAGGACTGAAAAACAATGTCCATTTATCTCAAAATTCACACAAATCCGAAACCCTGACTGTTAAGAAAGAAAGCAATCCTCAAATTGATGAAATATCGCTTAATGCAGCTATACTTATCAAACAATCTGAGTGTGCTTTAACTTCAAAGCACATTCCTCCTAGGTTCCAGAAAATCACGAAGTGTTGTAGACATTTTTGGATGGCGAATTTTCCCGAGTGGTCCCGCATTCTTGAAATAGAACTAGACAAGGACCCACACCTTCTTGACAAGCATATTCTAGAACCTGGTTTCCCTCATAGTTTCTCCGCTCAGCTTTCAAAAATTTTTCATTTCAACATCAAACTGGCAGGATTCTTGGATTCAAGTATTGCGTCAGGAGAGGTCAGTGTTTTAATACTTAATCTTTACATTTAAAGTAAGGTGGCTACTGCTAAATTAAATTACGCCAATCACCATTATATGTCATTTAGTGAGTAATTGTTAAACTAAAAAACTCACTGCTTTGAGATTTCATATGGTGTGATCTTACCTGAGAAAACACTAAGGGTTAGTTATTTAACTGCCTAAGTGGGCTACTTATGGTTAATAAGTTTTTAAAATCATGTGGAATGCTCTCATCGACATTTCAGTCAATAGGACGTTTGATTTCATCGTTTTGCGCTGCTGTCTAGTGTAATCCTCATAGCATACAGTTAGACAACAAACTCAGAGCCATTGAATCAAATTTATTTTTTATTATCTTTAAACTAGAGGTCTTTAAACCTTAGTTAAATACATAACTCTACTAGTTGTGCGATGCTGACTAGATCTGAAGCACATCTACCTCAGGCTGTATGCTGATCGATTGATCAAATAAGCGTCCTATAATCTTGTAAAAAGTAGTATATTGCATCCCAAGTTCTTACCCTTTGAATTATGGTTAAAATCGGTGTTAGTTAATGTGTCGAAAACTAATATGGACTGAATCTCTTCAGATTTCGTTGTCGGGACCTAACTATCAATTTGTTTGTAAAGTGAGACTGAATAAGTTCGACGTTTTAGTTGGAGTCCATGATGCTTATTTCTATATAAATCGATAACGAATATAAGTTTCCAGGTTCTCAGACAGGATGTCTTTAGATCTTGAGAGTAGCTCTTTGCTTATGCATAGAGTGACTCAAAATCACGTACACAGATATATACTTGTTCTATAAGTCCTGGCAATTATTGGAGCAGCGGTTTCATTTAAAGACACGTGATAATTTGTACATAACGTATCCGATAAAAGTCAACTTCCTATAATCTCGTTTCTTCTAGGTTTTCAATTTTCTACGGTTTTGTGATTCCGTTTTCAAAGAATCGCAAACAGCTAAAGGATTTCGACGTGGCCATATTATACAGACCTCAATGGTTTACGAAAAGCTAGCAAATTATTACGCGAAATGTGTGAGTCGTTTTTTTTTATTTCCATCGCGTTTAATTAGCACTTGAAAGCTTGTATCAGAACTCATCTCCACGTAGCGCGTTTATTTTTCATACACTCATTGGCTGCTTAAATATTAAATATTCTTAGGAATCAAGATGTATAACTTCGTGTGTTTCTGTTGGATTGGTTACCGATAGTAAAACAATATTTATGACCTAAAATCTCAGCTTTTTTCAGAACTTCAATTCTCCAGGTTCATTAGCAGAAACTTCCAGTCAAAACTCCAACGATAAGAATCCTTCGCTGTACCATAAACATCTCTTGCAGATAATATTTTAGTTAACTCTGTATTACTTTTGGCTGTAAGACATAATTAAAAGACATCTGTGAACCGCACTTTTCTATCAAATGTATATTTGAAGCGTCTCACGCGTTGTGACAACCAAATGAACAGTGCCGATCTTAAAGGTAGGGTACTTGACACGATACCTAAAAGTTAGTTCTAAAAGTCATATTTAATGCTTGGTGAATGATTGGTCCTCAAGCTAATTTTTCTTCCAATCTCCCATGACATTTTATCATATCCATTGTTTGTTAATATTCTGCTTATAAGCATGTCATTTTACCACATAAAAATCTATTTGTCTGGCCAATGGTCTTCTTGATTTCATTCGAAGCTGCAGTTAAATAGTACAATCTTGTAAGCAGCCATCACTCAGCAATATCGTACAATTTCACTTATCTGTCAAATAACATCATGTTCATTAATTTCAGTCAATCAGCCAGCTACAACGTAGGACCAGGCACATATATGCATCGGTACAAGTTGCCATACATCATCAGCACAACAAGATAGCACCAAATCCATTAATTTTGTCAATCTAAAATTTTTCCCATCAAATGACCTCAAATCTCCCTAATAACAGTACTAGATAACGATGATAAGTCTGTTGATGATGCGAAAAAGTTTGGAATTCACTTCATTTTTATTTATTTATTTATTTGAACACCTAAACATTGGCACAACTGGGTACCAAGCACATGCGCTACACAACAACAGTAAGGTTAGAAAGTGACAGGGAATTCAAAGTGCGTATAATGAAAGAAAAACAACAACGGACAGAAATTAGTGTAATCAGTGAGATAGTGATAATAATAGGACAAACAGTTCAGTTAGCACAAATATAACCAAACAGAACCCTTTCAATCAAACAGGTGACGTTTATTTACTATGAAGAAACTTACACCAGAGTCTCCACTAGCTTCTATTCTGAGCCATATCTGAGAACGTCTCTACCCACTGTGTTTCACCATCACAAGGACCTCAATCAAGAAGATGTGAAGGACCAGCAGATTATAGTCCTCTACAGCTTTCTTTCATACCACGATACCATGTCGTACAATGACCACCTCCGCTTTTTCCAAACAGTCCCAGCGTCAGCAAATAATGCATGTTTAGGAACCCCGCTCTGGCTTTCACTATACGTGAATTGATCTCATCGCTCACGCCACCACCGGCGCTTACGCAGCAACCCAGATACACGAACTTCTCGACTACTTCTATCCGCTCACTACCCAGGGTGAGTGCAGGTTCAGGGTCCTGCCAGTCTTATAAAAGTACTTTGCACTTCGGAGGGGCAGAGCACATACCATACCTACGGACACCAATTGTCAACTGATTAAGTGCGGATGGCATGGCTTAGGTATCATCGCACAGTAAGACAATATCATCCACATACTCAAAGTCGGAAAGTCTTTCTCCAAGCAACAGATCCATTCCACCAATACCTACATCCATCAGAGCTGTTCCCAGAACGTCATCAATGGCGAAGTTGAAGAGGAATGGTGAGATTGGGCAACCCTGTTTATCCCCACTTCTTGAGTGGAACAATGGAGAGAGGTAGTTGTATGCCTTTAATCTGCATAAAATATTTGTATATAAACCCTAAAAGATGTTAATAAACTTCTCAGACACACCCTTCTTCAATAGACAACCCCAGAGAACAGTTCTGTCCAACGAATCGAAAACAGCCCTAATGTCAAGAAACACTACAATTGTTGGCCTGTAACAAGTATGACGGTGTTCTAATATTTAGCAGAGGGTGAAGATATGATCAATACATCCTCGACCAGAATGAAAACCAGCCTGCTCCTAGTGAGTCAGTCCTTCTCCGGTTTTGAACAATCTACGAAGTATAACGGAAACCAATAGTTTGGACGCAATCGGAAGTAGACTTATATCCCGATAGTTGTTGCATAGGTGACGTAAACACCTTTAAAAAATAGGAATGATTATCGACTCTAATTCAAAAAAATTAGTGAACAACTTAGTTCAGTAATCAGAAGGTTGTCACGGTACTCAAAGAGACCCGACGGTAAGTCATCTGCGCCTGGTGGTTTCTGGCGTTCCAAAAGTTAGAGTTCCTTGAGGGCTTCTGTCTTCTGTTCAGGGAAGGCGAAACAGTATGATCAAGGTCTCTGGGACAGCGAACCAGCTTTACTGTTTCTCAAATAACTGTACTTACTTTGCTCATATTTAGTGCTAGCCAGGAACGGGTCGTAATCTGTGCAAAGTTTGATTAGATGGTCCATCGTCCAAGGCGTCGATAGATGTTATTGATTGGCGTCTGATAAAGCTCACAGATTGTTCCACTCACATCAGGCTTCTCAATTCTTATGAAAACTTTGCACATTTTTATTATGTAAGAGTTTACGTTTACCGTGAAACTCGCGGTGAGCCGAAATAGACCGATGTACGCCGACAAGTCGTGAGAATTCTGTTCATAAGCAGGGTGGTTCGCGAAGCCGCGAGCGACTTTACCTGCCATTTTCATGGTGTCATGTAATTGCAACCAATGCTCATCTATACTTTTTGGTGGGATTGTAGAAAGCTTTGGAGCTAGCTCGGTTTGATATTTGGTTGCAGCAGAAGCTGCAACCAATTTGCTGGCCTCGATCCGTTTAAAACGATGAATTTGTTGACTACCGAAAAATTGGCGCAAACAAGAGTATGATCAGAATCCAGATAAGTACTCCAAAAGGAGTATCATTCTTGTACACAAGCACGCGCAGTGATGTAATCAATCTGAGTTGAGGCTTGAGATGCGGAAGGATGATGCCAGAGAGCACATTAACGACTACTGTGCCGATAGTTAGTGCTAACCGGAAACAGATGGTATTCTGTGCAAAGTGTCAGTAGATGGTCACCTTTATCTGACCTGCAACTAATAAGTCCTTATTGGCCACTCAAACGGCTATCCTCTGTCCCTAGACGCTCGACCTACCCACTATAATATCTGTCAAGCGCACTTTCTGAAGACCACTTAACTGATGATAGAACTTATCCTTAATCATGTCATGGCTGTAACCTGCAGAGGTGTAGGAGGAAATAATAAAAAGGAACCGTTTCTCACATCGATTTCTCACTTTGATGGAGCTATCTAACCTAACAGCATAAAGCCGTGGTTTCAGAACAACTTTCATTATTCGTGGTCAGTGATAACGTTTATCCCACGGAATACTGTCGGACTACTGGACCTTTCCCAACAACTTCGCCCCCATTTCTGGAAGGGCGTTAAAATAGATTGTCTAAACCTGATGAAATGTGGATAGGCAGTCGTCAACCAAGGAGGATATTACATTACGATCGACTTTTGTGGGACAATAGACCAGTTGAATTGTCTTCCACCAAGTTGGAATTTGAGATAATTACCAGTAGGCGTGCCATTAACATCTCAGATCATGTCACTTACATGGGACCTTCCGGTACTAATAGAGCATTCATACTTGATAGCTTTTCGGGCAAAATTTATTGTTCATATTTCTAGTAGGTTAACGTACGAAGTGAAGTTCCTTTGACCTAACTTAGTGTCCTGAATGTCTTCCTGTCCATTTTTATTGATGTACGAAGTTGACGAATCTATAACTTTTGTTCACCTACGCTAATCGGGATTTGTCCAGATTATAAGCGATGGTTTGCAAAGTGAATCGTCTTAGTTATCTTATTGTTAGATGGACCATCAAATAAAGCCATATTTATCCAAACTTATGCAAAAAGAAGTCATGTATATTTCTTATGTGGTTTTAGATCAACCGATCATTTTGAAGAGAATAGACTATGGTCATTCAAGTAATTTAAATATTCCAAGTCCTTTTTACATTTTTTCATTATTTTAGGGCGACTGGAGTGGATACATTAAATTACTGGAACGAATAAAACGAGAGGGTTTGTTACCTTCAAAAAATACTTATTTCTATGGATTCGAATGTTTGGGTAAACTTATGAACAAAGATGGGTCTCAATTTCCACCGTCTTCGCACTCTCAGTCTATTTCAAAAAATAAAGCATTTAATCGTTTAACTCCCAAATCAGTTATACCTATGGAAAAAATTGGACACGAAGTTAAAAACCTAATAGATGCTGCTGAAGAGGAGGTAGTTTATTTTGCCTCTTTTTGTAATAGATGTAATTGTCCAGTTATCATTTTTAAATTTATTACCTTAAGTAGTCAAATCATCGGCATTTTACGGGTACCTGTGTAATTGTGCCACAGGATGGATCTGTGCTCTTCAGGTTCTAATGCTAAAACCTGGATAGTGTCTGATACTTTTCAAAGCCAATGTAAACTTATCATCTTTCAAAACGGTATGTTTATAATGATGTGAACACCTCCCGAATCTCCTGGTACGGGCGAGTGTGGTGAATCTGCTCTCCCTCTCGAAATGCTTTCATATGGCCGCGCGTATATAGCCACTGTCAGGAAAATCCTATTCACCGCCTTCTCGCGACAGTGGTGTTGTTTACGAAGTTGGGACAAATAGCGAACTGAACTGACTAAGTTGTTCACTAATTTTTTTGAATTAGAGTCGATAATCATTCCTATTTTTTAAAGGTGTTTACGTCACCTATGCAACAACTATCGGGATATAAGTCTACTTCCGATTGCGTCCAAACTATTGGTTTCCGTTATACTTCGTAGATTGTTCAAAACCGGAGAAGGACTGACTCACTAGGAGCAGGCTGGTTTTCATTCTGGTCGAGGATGTATTGATCATATCTTCACCCTCTGCTAAATATTAGAACACCGTCATACTTGTTACAGGCCAACAATTGTAGTGTTTCTTGACATTAGGGCTGTTTTCGATTCGTTGGACAGAACTGTTCTCTGGGGTTGTCTATTGAAGAAGGGTGTGTCTGAGAAGTTTATTAACATCTTTTAGGGTTTATATACAAATATTTTATGCAGATTAAAGGCATACAACTACCTCTCTCCATTGTTCCACTCAAGAAGTGGGGATAAACAGGGTTGCCCAATCTCACCATTCCTCTTCAACTTCGCCATTGATGACGTTCTGGGAACAGCTCTGATGGATGTAGGTATTGGTGGAATGGATCTGTTGCTTGGAGAAAGACTTTCCGACTTTGAGTATGTGGATGATATTGTCTTACTGTGCGATGATACCTAAGCCATGCCATCCGCACTTAATCAGTTGACAATTGGTGTCCGTAGGTATGGTATGTGCTCTGCCCCTCCGAAGTGCAAAGTACTTTTATAAGACTGGCAGGACCCTGAACCTGCACTCACCCTGGGTAGTGAGCGGATAGAAGTAGTCGAGAAGTTCGTGTATCTGGGTTGCTGCGTAAGCGCCGGTGGTGGCGTGAGCGATGAGATCAATTCACGTATAGTGAAAGCCAGAGCGGGGTTCCTAAACATGCATTATTTGCTGACGCTGGGACTGTTTGGAAAAAGCGGAGGTGGTCATTGTACGACATGGTATCGTGGTATGAAAGAAAGCTGTAGAGGACTATAATCTGCTGGTCCTTCACATCTTCTTGATTGAGGTCCTTGTGATGGTGAAACACAGTGGGTAGAGACGTTCTCAGATATGGCTCAGAATAGAAGCTAGTAAAGATCTTGGTGTAATTTTTTTATTTAAGTCTGGAGAACTGAAATAATACATTGTGTTTTACTTTTAATTAACTGCTTCTTTTATTATTTTTCGCTGTTTTGCACTTATTTATTTTTATTTTTATTATACTTACCATCTTTTCTCAGTCTCATTTTTTTATGAAGCATACGTATTTTGTTATCCATTAGTACCACTCTGTCTCATCTCCGCCACATTAGGTAGATCAGCCCACACTGGCCAAGGAGGAAAGAATAGTCTGGACAAGGTTCCCAGGACAGTAATCCAGCTAAGCTGTTTTTCGAATAAATCTCTCTGTCGACCAAGATGTCGATAGATGTTACTAATCGGTGTCCCGTCGACTTCGCTGATTGTTCCCGAAGCCTGTTTGGATCGTTAGTTTGGAATCAGGGTTCTCCAACTCTCCGAGATGGATCCTCCCTACTCACCAACCATGTTTAAGCTCCAGACATTCGCTTTTTGTCCCAATTTCGTAAACAATACACCGTCGCGAGAAGGCGGTGAGTAGGACTTCCCTGACAGTGGCTATATACACGTGGTCATATGAAAGCATTTCGAGAGAGAAAGAGAGAGTGGACTCACCACTGTCGGACGCATTTAATGCATTCGGGGTAATCTGTGCAATACTCATGCACTTGTAAAATTTCATAGATCTCCGACTAAAATAAGTGCACGTAAGGAATATGGAATACTTCCTACTGGAAAGCTCTTCTGAGTTTGTGAAATATTCTTCGTTTTTAGTCCCCTAAGTGCTACTTTAAGTTTTAAGACCGTTTGCTACTGGATTTATGACACCTTTGTACAGATCATATCAAATTAATCAAGCTAATTGTCAGTAATCTAGGTGAAAATTCCACAGAATGTATTCTAATTTTTTTATTGTTAATATTTCCTAAGCCATGTGTTCATCATCATAGCCTGTTAACAACCTTGTATACTTTCGGTAGAATTATAAATTTGTGTATACACAGGTTGTTTGTTTAGTCAGTCTTTGCTGTGTCTATTAGGTTTTCTCCTAAATATTTACTTGTGTTAGGTGGTGGCTTCAGGCAGAATAGAAAATTACCTATATTCTTTGTTCAAAGAATAAGAACCTCAGAGTATTTCTTCTTTTTACAGAGTCGCACCAGTATATCAATTGTGCTACATTTCGTTCGATCAAGTAGTTTATTTTTCTAATAAAAATTCAAAGCCATAATTTAGCTATTCATTTAGTTTCACTTCATGGAAAACAATGTTATTTCCATCAGTATAAAAGTTACCCTCTGTTTTAAATTATCTTTCATTGATCATAAAACTATTAGATAAATCAAAATAAGAGAGGTCGCACTAAGTTTTTGTTCGCAAGTAACAATTTATTAAATCACTCCTTTGAGTATATTCCTATTCTTACATTCTATAGAAAAGTTCGCAAAGTGTTTCTATCCGTTTATATATTCATTTTATTCATTACAACTGCCTGTTTCATCGATATCTTGTAACAGAACAAGATTAGTTGTTTCTTAATCTTTACATGACTTAGCTATAAGTTTGTAATTCTCTGCTTCTCTAGGTAATTTTATATACTCTGTTAAATAAAATCATACTGGTGAATTTGAACAACATATATAAGCGGACAATATTGTTTACGATTAGATCCTAATCGTAAGCAATATTGTCCGCTTATATATGTTGTTCTAAATCACAATATAGGAATTTTTCAAATATTGGTAAATGTTTTATTTGTTGGCATTCGTTCACTAAGCGAGTGCTGACTATTTTTTATTACTCTTGTAATCTCTATGGATTTAATTAATGTACACTCTAACTTCTTTTTTTAAAGGGACATAACCTAACTCAGGGTTTACTAGGTTTATCTCTAGAAGAAGGTTCATTGAAGAATATTCTCACTGCTTTGTTGTATGTCCGACCAAATATAAATCCAAATCTTAACTACTTTATGCACTATTCATCCAGCAGTATTTCAACACATACCAAACGTACCAAAGAAATATCTCATCCAGCTCAAAAACATTTAGATAGTGTTAAAGTAAGTTAATAACATTTTTTCCCCTTAATTATGCCCACAGACTGACATGATGAGCATTTTGCATTACCTCAGCAATCTAAATATCCATATCTTGGCACTTCCTAGTACATGTGATGTGTAAAAACTAAAACGTAGTGAGAAATTGTAATATCAGCGGACCTAATGACTCAGATTTTTGATACAACTTCTTGTCTTTTGTTAAATTAATTTTTAATTCAATCAAAAGTAGTTGAGATATTCATTTTGTACTTGTAAAAAATTAGCTGAGTCCGAAATTCCTTATCCAAAACTTAATTTCTTAGCCTGCATATAATCATTATAATTCCTTACCAATGTAATCTAAATTAATGAATTTTAATTTGCTTAACGGTAATTTGACATGTCACAGGTTCAAATCCCACTACATTATTTTCAGTCTTAGCAGTCTATTAGTATTAATATTCCTACTATATGAATAAAAGTCAAGTTTGTAAATCCATATTTGATAAATAAGTTGCCTTAAAATATCATTTGATTTAGACCTTGAGCAATAGGTCTCACAGTATATCTCACTGGTGCGAATGTGTTCACTTTTTTCTTTCCCTTATTATCATAATTCTTGCGGACTGATTTTGTTCATTATTCCTTATTTTTTATACTTAGTTATCCTCTAATATTAGTGTTATCACCATCCTTATCATTCTTTTTGATTTTTTTCCTTTATTGATTCCTTTTTCCTGTTTCTCTGTAAAACGTGATACCTTGAATTAAAGCACCCTTAAACCAGGTCTAACTTTGCACATATCTGTCTGTAAAAATCTCTATATTATTGTTTAAATTACATTAATCTCTAAAACACTCCCTTTTCTAACGAAACACTAGTCCTAAGTCAAGTTGTTCTCTTAGTTTGAAAATGTTTTCCTCCTTAATTATAGCACGAACGTAAAAATCCTTACGCGGGTATTTTTACGGATTTCGGTGACATTTCAAAGGCATTTAAAAGCCAGATGCACGTAGAAAAAATGACAGAAGTCACTGTATCGCCTGTACTTTCACCATTCGGTCAATCAGAAGCTGCCCCTTTATCCCCAGAACTAAAAAAGAATTTGGTACGTTATCTTGTTTTGTGCATCTGTAAATGGTTTACTCATTGTAATTTTAATATCTAGTGTATATAGTACTTGGCAACAACTTAAAATAAATCAGGTTAGAGATTGCTGGTTGGCGGCCCATGCTGCACGAGAGGTAACAGGGGTACTTAAGCTACAATCCAAGTATGTTAAAAATTTGTAACTGAAGAGGTTACATCGATACAATACTCCCAAAATAAATAATATATTTGTTTATAACAATCTACCCAATGCTCAGTTTGTTCGAAATTATCAAATCGAAACTTGGTAACGGCACCTACAATGCTCTCAGAAGTACAGATACATCAATAGAAACTAATCAGCTTCTGTCTTTCAAATCAATGACGAGAAAGTACAAACTCAAACAAGTACATAGCATGATTTGTGATCATTAGAGTTTTGATAAATTTTGTCTTTCACTGAGATCATAAATTTCTATGTGGTAGTTTGTTATTCTATCTAGTGAAGTATTGTAACTAAAATTGGTTTGCAATATTTGACTTTCATCCGTTTTTACTGATTTCCTCAACAATAATTTTGAGTTTGTATAGTATTTTTCATTTTTATTCCCTTCACTTAGCATAATGCTTTAATTAAAGAACGTGAACACTGGCATCAAGTCCTACTAACTGCCTTTAATGAACAGTTGAAAAGGCTTAAAATAATTCATGCAAGTGAGTTCATGCAGTAGTTCTTGTATAATTTTATCTCAAGTTACCAATAAATGATTATAGCTGGTGTAATACAAGTGTGGCTGCACAGACTATTATAGTGTTGAATTTAAAATGATAATTTCATGATTTTCAGAAGTTATTGATAAGCAGATTATTCAAACTAGTTAGAAATATTTAAATCCAGTTTATTATAATATGTAATATGGTTTAAAAAGCCTCAATGTATCCAACCAGTCAAAATCTTATCCTAACTAATTTTGTTTTCTTTGCTTCAATTTTAGATTTACTTGTGTTTGCTACATAAATCGCAATATACACTAGTTTGGGCATCTTTGATTCTTTCATCACGCTTGTTTGAATGTCAAAAGTCACATGTACAAATTTGTAGTGCACATAGTTCTGTTATACACCCGTATGACCTAAACCTTACAAGCTAGAAATGTTCTAGAGTTTTATGTGTACCTTCATTTCTTAGTTGTATTGTTTTGGGCTGGCGGCAACACCATACAAGCCATTCCAATGTCGGACTCCTTTTCGAATATGAATTCATTAGAAACTACTAACTTTGGTAGATAACACTCTCAATACTAGCAGTTACTATATCAAACATTTTCCCTACTTTTGGTTAACATAGAGTTGTTTATCCCAGTACCTAGTCTCTAAATATGAGGAATGGTTGTACTGGATTAATATTTCTTAGGTAAATCTCATCTTTCTATCAGAGGTTCTAGAAATAATGAAAATAAATAGCTCCAGTAAGATCAGAATTGTTACCACTGAGTTACTGGTTTCGTAGCTATTCTCTTTGCTAATAGGTTATTTCCACGAAACAGTCAGTAATTCACATCAACTTAAATTATTTTAACTTTATGTGATGGTTCGTTAAATTTTCCCTTTTTTTCTTACTGAACATTTATCAAGAACTTTTATTAATTTCTTCTAGAGGGAAAACTGACAGCTTATCCATTCCTGAAGATCTTGCCTGCATCAAATTATGCAGATCTGATGATTACGGTAGTTATATTTTGTTTGTTTATTTATTTGAGCGGATTATTTTTTCCCAATTACTTTATGTTCAGTAGTTATATAATAAATTCAATTGTTCTGATTCTGAATATTTGTCTTTCACCATGTACATGTCCTTGTAATTTTGGTCAACTTGAATTTTCATGCACCAAAATTCTTACGTCAGCTTGAACATTGTCACAAACATATTATATGAAAAGCATTCGTTCGAGGAATGATATATCACTAACTGATTGTACTTAAATATTCTGATATACTGGTTTACGATTTGACGATTCTACTGCCTCCTGATTGATGTGATTTCGAATAATATTTGTATTATTTTATATTCCAACATTTTGTTGACCTAATAATTTTCAAGTATTCCGTGACAATGATTAGTCATTATTATTACATCCACCTAGTAGATACTCTTTCTTACATTTTCCTTCAGGGCATTGATATGTTAATTGTGGATTCAGCTTTACAGTATACCTCTTCATCAGTTGCTTGTCTTCAACTTGGTCGACGTGTAGAACGTGCTTGTACTGTATACCGCCAAGAAAAAATAGGATATTTTAAGCAGGTAAGACTACATTTACCCTTTACAAATGCATTTTTTAATACTGAAGTTTATGAAGTAATTAAATGTCGATTATTACATGGTGTAATTATTTGAGGTCTACCATGTATTTACATCGGAAATCATCAAATGTGCTCATTCTTTATCTCCCTCGAGCTTCAATATTATTTTATAATTTAGTCCTCATAGTCATTTCTCTTCCGAACCATATTGTTCACTTGTAGACTTTTTCTCTATTTTAGTCTTCACTATTACTTTACCTTATATAAAATTGATGTTACAGTCTCATACACAAATATCTATTTGATTACATAGTTTTCGTTGTATCCGTTTAAAAAGTCTCAGTCTGAATCTCATATTGTGTTCTGTTATAACGTGAGTTCATCAGGACAGTTTTATGTGTTTTTATTACTCCCTGTTGTATAACGTTTTTCTTTACGTAGTTAATTTTTCAAGATTTGTTCAATTTGAGGAAATTTTTCAGTACTAATCGGAACCATATTAAAGTCTACGGAAAATAAATGAGTGCATAAATGACCATTCAATTATATAACTTGACTGTTCCCGTATGTCACCACTTAAAAAATTGTAATTCAAACTAAACTTTTACACTGGTTATTGTAACAAAATCCTTATCAATTTACAACTGTCATTATATACTCGACAAGGAATTTTCGAAAGCGATTATTTGTTCAAATATTTTTAAAATATTCTATTTAAAAAACACAAAAATGTTTCGAAATCTATTCAAAGAATACAATTATTTCTTTCCTTTAGTTAGAAAAAATGTACATGACATATGCTACTTTGTTTAATGAACGTGAAATGAAATTTTCTAATTTCCGTCATATGTGGCTATATGCGCTGCAGTCACGTATGGATCAAGGTCCGAATACGGTTAGTTCTATGTTGTTTTTTTTCATTTAAGTTTTATCTCTTTAAATCTACTCAACAAACCTTTTGTATTTCTGTATTTGCTAATTAATTGATCGTATTTATAGTTTCTTGATAAGTAATTAGTGTGAAACAGTGGTTTGTGAACTCTGTATTCATTTCTTACCGTCGGTATTAATTTTTTTTCACGCATGATTCACTGTCCGTTCACTAAGAAGTAAATATTTGTAGCTGGCTTTTTGGATGTTGTGCGTTAATTTCTTTTGGACCTTGCTTTTAGGCAGAAATGTTAATTTCCATTTTTGTGTATCATTTTCATTAAGGCTTGACTAGATGATTTCACTTGTCGATAGATGAACTCTATTAATTGTTGAAATAAATTAAGATGTAAGTAGATGATAAACATACATATCTGGGCAGCATCATTGATGAACACGGTGGATCAGATGCAGATGTGAGGGCGCGGATCGGCAAAGCAAGAACAGCATACCTACAGCTGAAAAACATCTGGAGCTCAAAACAATTGTCAACCAACACCAAGGTTAGAATTTTCAATACAAATGTCAAGACAGTTCTTCTGTATGGGGCAGAGACGTGGAGAACTACGAAAGCCATTATCCAGAAGATACAAGTGTTTATTAACAGCTGTCTACGCAAGATACTTCGGATCCGATGGCCAGACACTATCAGCAACAAGTTACTGTGGGAGACAACAAACCAGATTCCAGCGGAGGAAGAAATCAGGAAGAAGCGCTGGAAGTGGATTGGGCACACTTTGAGAAAATCACCCAATTGTGTCACAAGACAAGCCCTCACATGGAATCCTGAAGGTCGAAGGAGAAAAGGAAGACCAAAGAACACATTACGCCGAGAAATAGAGACAGACATGAGAAGAATGAACAAGAACTGGAAAGAACTAGAAAAGAAGGCCCAGGACAGAGTGGGTTGGAGAAAGCTGGTCGGCGGCCTATGCTCCATTGGGAGTAACAGGCGTAAGTAAGTAAGTAAGTAAGATGATAAACACGACAAGTTTTTATTTACCACAGTAAACAAACATATTGTCCCGTTTAGAAAATTTGTAGATCATTTATGTTAAAATTGTCAGCGTACTGGTTTTTGACATGATCTAAGCCACTTTATTATTCAACTGTCTGTAAAATCGTCTAGCTTTCATCTTAACGTATATATCCATACTCAGCATCAAGGTAGAACAGAAACATTTCTTACTTCATTTGAATTCACTGCATAACAGCATCGAAATTTATTGTTCCCTATATTGGTTAGTTTCTATTATTTAATTTTGTTTTAACTATCAGCAACATAATTGGACTTCGTGGCCTCCAACAGTTCTTTTCATGATTGGTGAGGTATTATACAGTCTTATATATGAACATTTACGTTTCGACTTAAATGGCCCACTTAGAGTTCGTCATGAATTTTCAAAAAGTGATGAAAAAACAAGTAGTAATATTCGTCGTAAAGACACTCCAGCTATTTTTGAAGTTCTGGCAGAATTCCCAACTGAAGTAACTAATGAAATTAAGGTTAGTGTTTGTTTTTCACTATGTATTTCACTGTTACATTACCTAAAGGATCTAATGTGTTATTATTAACTGAAATAAAATTAAAACCTAACAGTATTGCATACGAACGGTTAAAACTTGTTTACAATACTCCCTTTGTTTTGAATTTCTTCACTGTGTCGTTTGCGTACGGTTTCAAATATTCTCAATCTTACTGACGGAATAAATGACGAAGGAAACTCATTGTATCATTGATAAATTAAGGGCAATTATACTAAAAAATATTTTCTTTTTGAAGATGTCACCCACTTAATCTGTACAAGGGTATTTAAAATTAATTTTTGCAAATAGTAGTTTGGTAAAATGGAAGAAAAACATTATACTTAGATCAACAATCGGTAGTTTCTGTCTAAACAAAAATATTTAAATGACACTTTCACCGTCCTATTTTATTATAAACGACTATTTGTAAAAAGTTAACTACAAATACGATTTCATATCTGGATTGTCTTAAACTTTTCTTCAATGAAATTAGTACCGAAAATAGAGTTTCATAAATATTCCAGGCTGATACAAGTTGATCACTATTAATATTATTATTATTTTCTGTTTCTAGGTTCATCCAACGTTGATTAACTGGTATCGTGATGCAGATTATCCACCTTTAAGTTTCCATCCATGTGCTCTACCTATGCTTTGTCCACCAGTTCCATGGATCAATCTTGATGATGCTGGTTATTTGATTTCAAGAAGTAATTGAAAACATCCTCATCTTTTGCAATTAACTTTCCCATGGTTGTTATAAAATCTCTTATAACCTAAATCACTTAATTAAATCGATGAAGATGTTCGACTATCTACTGTGCATATATTGATTGCGTATAGATTAATTGGACAAAAAGCAAGTGATATGATATCGACTATCTTATCCAATGCCAAGAAATGTTTACTTTTCAATTTTTTTAAAAAAAATATAATTTTGAATGTATTTTTTATTCCGAGCCTAGTTGATTGAGGTCGAAAATGTAGAGCATTGATTTACATTTCAGTTCCCCAATAATCAACCGCTATCCACGATACCTAAAAATTCTCAGCGAGATTGTTGCTATATGCTTGTGAAGAGTCACATATGCGGACGAAACAGCTGTCCACTGTTTCTTGGTTTAAAATAATGATAATAATACCTTTATTTAGCATCAGTTCTCCAATATTGCAATGAATTTATGCTTAACATGTCCCCAAATTAAAAATTTTCAAAATTTTACTTAATTTATTATTTACTAGACAATATTTGCCACCCAATCTCGAAATTTTCCTATCAGTTTAGCTGCTACAACTTTTTCCATCCATCGTTTATAATATGAATGAATGACAACGTACTTGTCTCATTTTTTCAAGGAATAGGGAGTCCCAACAAATTTGACAGTATTTACCATCACAGTAATTTGCAAGCCCTTTATTATGGATCGTGAATGCATACAATTAGCATGAATAATTATTTAGTTCGAACAAATCTAAAACAGAAGTGTTCACTTCAATATTTGCATTTGGAAAATAGATGATCTAAATGTTTAATTATATGCTTTAACAACGGTTTCCCAACTAATGTCAATCGATAATAAGTACCACTTAGAAATTTACATATAGTTAGTCCGACAATTTTATTTGTAACAAATTTATTGTATGGTGGGGACATCATACATGTACCACTTTAAATCTAATCCTAAAATATTACTTACTTCTTATTTTCAGATTATGCAACACGTCTGATTAGATGTACCAGTGTTTCATCAACAAACTCGACTTATCATGATGACTTGGACTTTGATTTCAAGCAAATCCCATCAATATTAGACGCTCTCAACTGTTTAGCTTCCTGCCCATGGAAAATTAATAATACCGTATGTTGAAACCAAGAGCTTTTTCTGTGTAATGTAAACTATATATATATATATAACATGGGTTTTGTGGGCTTCTAGGCGGACAATTTGTAACGTCTATGGTTGTATTAAATTACTGATAAAGCGAAACCTGTATTCTGACTAAAAAAACTGTATAAAATCAGTTCTGATTGGTTTACTATTAAGTACAAAAAAGCCAATTTGTTATTTATTTACAAGCGTTCTTCGGGGTGCAAACAAAGAACACTTTAAGCTATTCTTTCGCTCAGTAACATACATCGTCAAGATCTTCAGGCATAAAAGAAAAGTGCTATAAGTCAGCGCCGGACATTCGCTTTTCGTCCTCTCAATTTCGTAAACAACACCCCCGCCACGAGAAGGCAGTGAGTAGGACTTCCCTGGCAGATGCTATATATTCGCGTGGCCATGTGAGAGCATTTAGAGAGGGAGGGCGGACTCTCCCCACTCTCGGCCGTACCAGGGCATTTGGGGGCAAGTGGCTACCGCCTCCGGGTGGGCACGAACCACCAACCTTTCGGTTAACAGCCGAACGCGCTAACCGGTTGCGCCACGGAGGCGACAAGCGGCTTGCATCGGCCGGGATAATTGTTTATAAATACTGGTACTGTTTTGATTATTGTTCTAGTAGTTCTCCAAATGTCAGCTCCATACAGTAGAACTGTCGACATTCGTATTGAGGATTCTGACTTTGATGTTGTGATATCCCGAAGAGAATCATGAATGGTAACTTTTGAGGACTATTTATGGACCGATACTATGTGTATATTTTTATTGTATAGTTGTTAACTAACTAAACTATTCATATTCGTATCCCTCGTATTAAAAGCTTTGTTTTGACCTATGAACTATTACTAAACGGTTTACCATTCTTGAGTTATCCCCAGTATATTAATTACTGCCTCCCACACTCGCAGCCACATTTGTCTGATTTTTGTACAAATGTTATTTTTTATTTTATGGTATTATGTGATCAATTTGGATTGGTATACAAACTCAGTATGTTTGAGATACAACGGTTCATACCGCAGAGGCTGTTATTGGTGTTCTAGACTTAACTGACTTGGCTAGGCAAAAGCAGGACCGACAAGTGCTCTAGACTGCCAATACAGGTTTCGTGTGTCACTGGTCCCATCAATAAATCGCTATTCTCTAAGAGGCGGGTACAAGTTATAACAGAGGTTGGTTTGCATACAGTTTGGAGTTCCATATATTCTTCAACTGTAGGAATGTGGCTCTTGCTTTGCCAATCCTCGCCTTTACGTCTGCATCCAATCCTCTCTGTTCATCGATGATGCATCCCAGATACGTGAAAGTTTCCACCTCTTTCAGAGTTTCTCCATCAATTGTGATTGTGTTGGTGTTCTCCATGATGTATTTGAGGATCTCGTTTTTCCTCTTGTGTGCGCTAAGCAAATAATTTCTAATTCCGACTTCAATAACAGTAAACGAAACCGCTTATTCTTTTTATTCCTGCCCGCTAACTAAGGACAGAAATTCAAGCTCACTTGGAAGCTCTATCGATAGACGCTCCACGAAAGTATTAATCATTTGAATACATTCATTTATAAATAAATTTTATCACTGTGATTACCAGAAACAGAAATTATCATACTGAGAAAACTTCAGGCAAAAATTAATATTATGCTTAATCAACGAAAAATCACATTGGATGTTACACTGCGAAAATCACATTAAAAATCAATGCATAATCTTACTGCTTTTATCTCAATTTAACATCTACACTCCCTTAGCCAAAAATCCACTTTATTGATAGCAGCACAAAACGTAAGAGTGTGTAACTAATCCTTTAGTCTTGTACACACAGTAGTCTCTAGCACAACCGAAATTCTTCGAAACTTTCAGTTTCTTTTCATGTTATACAAATTATCACCAAGTTAGCCAGTCACAGTTCTTCATGTTCAAATTTTGTTCCGTATAGTGGTCATAAGTCCTGAAAGTGTATATCCTTCTCCTGTAAACCACGTTCTCGATTCTCACCGTCTAGTCTATTGTTATGTGATTTGAAAAAAATCACTGTGTTTCAACAAAATAAAATATGTTTTCCAAAATTCGCTAAATTCATTTTGTTTTTTAGCTTCTCATCAGCTGTAAATAAACTTCTTAAAATAGCAATAACTATTAGACCAATCCAACTACATTATTTCAATCATAAAGAATTGACTAATATGCAGAAAATCATGTCGATGTAGTATAACTGAAGAGTTCGAAAAATCAAGACCACTGCTAGTTGTTGTATGATTTGTTCAGTTGTTTTTGAAGCACAGGTCACTCATGTTAAGTAATATGTGATTTAACATTCATTGTACACTTCACATTTTAGTCATCAAATCTAATATTCTATCAAATTATCGTCAGATTTTAGACTACCTTATTCAAGTGGCTCGTTCTGGTGGCAATGAAAATCTCAGTATTCCCGAGTGGAGAAGTAAACCTAAACGTGTGGATTTGAGAAAGTAAGTTTTCAAGATAAATCAATTATCCATACATGTTCATTATCAGTGTAAAACTTCATTCAGTGTTTTTAATTCGCTCTTAGAAAGCACATGTGTGTACATTTTTTGTGTATCACAAATGAATATTTTAACTTACACTACTTCACAGAATTATCTTTGGTGAACTTATTGTTTACTGAATTTATCAAATGTTAAGAGAATTAATTGGGATTTTATATATAATTACCTACATATTATTGTTACCATTAAAATTTAAACTACTGTTGGTCATAAGGTAACTTACTAGTCGCATTTGTTGGAGTAATCAGTTTCATAAACGATACTACTTATGAATTTTTATGATAAACTTACTGTAAACCCAACTACTGCATAATGTTATGATTATTTATAGTATATATTTATATTATCACTTCAAACTTCTACCCGAGGTTTGTGCTCATGATGTCGTTCAGAAGGACGATGAAAGCTCCACGACCAAACCATCCAGCTCAGAGAACAAACCCACATAAAAAAAAGTTACATTTGTGCTTCAAAGTTTTTGTCTTAGTATCGTTAGTTCACCCAACATAACTGTATTTTTTTCTTCTTAGCCACCTTGAGAATAGTCTACAATTTTCTTCCTGAACACTAATAGGCTACAGTATAAAGCACCATTTTTACTGTGACAATTTCTTTACATTATTGCGTCATTATGTCATCTGACGGAAACTAATATCAAAACCCCATCAAAGTGTTGATAATTTCTCCTCTTATTTTTTCCAGTAATCAATTTACTGTTGAGTATGAAGATGATTTCTAGTGCCTTCCGATTCATCTAGGTAGTAAATCGTTGATATTACCTTCGTATATGAGTAGCTAGGGTATGCCGTTAATAAACTTTGGAAAATAATGTTATCTAACCTGTAGAGAATATATTTGATTATATTGATTTGTCCATTATACTTTCCACTGATGCTTCTCTCGTAATTTATGTGTATACTATCCATTTCAAGGTAATTGCAAAATTCCATCATCAATTTCTACAGAGCACTTATTGCACAGATATATATGGACATTGAATAAACATGATAGTATGATGGAAAGGTTATAATACTGGATTATGTATTGTAAATAATAACAAATGTGCAAATGAAATTTTTTTTTAAAAATGAATGGAGTAACATAATTAAGATGTTTTCTGTCAAAATAATTAAAGCTAATAGAGAGGGATTATGCGAAATGAAGTGATATCAGAAACAATTATTAATAAAATCATGCGGATATGTGAAATAATTAAAGTTGGGGAGATTTTGATATACGAAATAAAATAAAGTAATAATAAGTTAAGGCCATAGTGAACATATGGATTAAACGTACTCCTTTTGTACACATTTCCGCCTTCATTTCATGGATGGGAAGAGCTTTTGTGTGAAGGAGTTATATACGAAGAAATCTGTGTAGATTTGGACGAAATGTATAAGCAACCTTAAAATCAACTAGCGGACCAGTGAAGTGATTAGAAGAAATTCAATTTCCAAAAACATAACATCTTACCGTTTTCCTCTCACACTGGGACATGTTCTCCTATCTGAGTTGAAAGCAAGCTCTGGCTATGGCTTATGTACCTTGCTGCGCTAGAGAAAGTAAACTGATAAATGCACATCTTTTTCTACATTATCTGTGTTTTACATAACTATCTTGTGTTTTCTGAATATATATGTGTATTTTGTAGTGATATGACCGCCAAAGAACGTCGGCTCGCCTACAGAAAATACCATAGTGATCGACAAGATTATGGTGAATTTTGTTCACTGTGGAGCACTGAACTGTACAGATTATCTATAGCTAATCAAGTATGCTCCTTCATTATAAAACTGTTTTTGTATTAATTCTTCAAATTGTCTTCAATTTCTGTTTTGATTTACGTTCCCAACAAAATCTCATTCAACTATTCTGTCAAATAAATTGTCCATCAATAGACCTTGTTTTATTCCCAAACTGTACTGCGCTGTTTTATACACCATCAGTATGGTATTGCAATTATAATCGTAGAATTTATACAGTGGTTCTAATATTACGACTGAGTTAAATGTAGAAATTCGTAACTTACGAAGGGAATTTAATAGAAACATTTGATATTATTTTTAAAGTCGATCCTACAATGTTTCAATTCAGTTTGTCCATACATATGTGAGCTGCTGCTACAGATTCTCTTATCAGTTAGTTTTATTGACTCACGATATAAAGTTAATGCATTTTTTAACACATGTTAATAGTTATTTGTTTCTATTTATAAATCTTTCTTTTTGATAGTATCGTGACAAAATTATTTGGTTTCCACATAGTATGGATTTCCGTGGTCGTGTATATCCTTGTCCTCCCCATTTCAATCATACCGGTATGCAACCTGATATTCTTTATGCATTTCTTAAGTCAATTTTGTTTTATAAGTTTTTCCGCACTTTTTTACAAGCGTTTGATAAGTTTCCTCAAGATATGAGCTTAGAGAAAGACAAGTGGTTTTCAAACATAATCATGTCAGTATATAGTTTTTTGGGGGTTATTGATTAAAAATGCGAATTTCAGTGAAGTACTGGTCCCGTGAGGGCATATGAACAAGGAATAAACATGATGATATAGTCGAAAGACTATAATACCAGATTACGCAATATGGATACTAACAATAAAATTGTTAAGCTAGTAACTAATCACAATGTGAGTGCAGTAAGATTATGAAAACGCTTTTGTTGCAATAATAATAGATGAAGGCCAAGGTAACGATAACGATTGGACTCAATTTTTTATACATACAGTTCTGGCTTGAGTCCATAGATGTCAAGAGCTGTTTTGCGAAGTTGGATGCGAAGAAATCTAGGTAGATTTGTACGAATTGTATACACAACCTTAAAATCGGTAGAATAATTACAGTCCATTATATGTTCAAGAATGGAACTTCTAACTGCTTTCCTCTCACCCTTGTAAAACCACACTGGGACATGTTCTCGTATCCCAGTTGAAAGCGTGCACTGGCTACGGCCTATGTACCTTGCTTGATTGCTGCCGCTATCATGAACTAACCTTAGTCAGATATTCACTGAGAACCATGAGCCACTGGATGACTCTACAAAGCTCTATGCTGATAATTATCATATCTTCACTAGTGGCTAATTTCAAGAGAGCTCTACATAACTGAAAGTCTATGGTTCAGTAGTCAATTCTGGTACACTTCAGATCGGCTTTTTTATTATGCTTCACTTCTAATTGTTGTATCTAAGTTTAAAAGCGATAATTAATCAAACCGAAACTATAGCTATACATTTAGATTTTTAATTCGATAAGTGTAATGTTTTGCTTACTTACTAAATAAAAGAAATAAGTGGTTTTTGTACCACAATATTATGCATATATAGCAGCTGAAAGTCACTTTTTTACTTCTCGTAAATACATCTGATTGTAAACCAACTTTATTCGGTATGAATTTTTAATAAAATGTTATATTCAAGTATAACTTGAAATATTTTTTAACTATTATCCATTTAGGTAGTGATGTGGCTAGAAGTCTTATTGTTTTTGCAAAGGGATTACCTCTTGGTCCTAACGGCCTAGATTGGCTTAAAATTCACTTAGTCAATTTAACAGGTTTAAAGAAAAGGTAAGAAATAGACTGTTTTAAACAAACAGTGTACTAATATAACATGAAAATTTCATATTAATTTTTTTTCTTTTCTCAAATAATAAACCAATAAGTTAATCTTGTACAAATTTTATCAAAATATTCTGAAATAGTTTAAGTTGTCTCTTCTCCACTGTTTAATGTCTTCGTAACCAATGTACGTATTTCAGTTCATGTAGTTTAATAGGTCTCAGTCAGTTACAGCGTAGGACCAGGCACATATATGCATCTGTTCAAGTCGCTACACATAATTAGCACAGAAAGATGAATACCGAATTCATAGAAGTACTTACTTTGATGGTAATAATATGTAAAAGGAAGATTGTGTATAAGGATATAATACAGGCAGAAAAAAAGGTGCAAAGTAATTTTAATCTCACGGTTTAAAAGAAGACAAGGGGTATATACACCTACGCCATTGTATTCGGTTCTGAACCATGTCACTCAGAGTTTCCAACCATTGGTTACGATAGTTGCGTGGACCCCAACCAAGTAGTCTACGTCTACCAATATGGCTCAGACTACAAGTTTGTTACTTAAAAGACATGCCACGTTTTGGTTTGGCCGCCCCTCACTTTCATAACCGTCTCCAACACTAGTCAGCATTGCGCGTCGTGGTAATCGGTGTTCAGATATATACAGCATGTGACCAATCATCTCAGTCGATATAGATTCACAAACCCATCAACTGACTTACCATCATTCCCTAATAATTTGCGTCTAACCTCACTATTACTTATCCGGTGATCCCAGCAGATGTTGGCAATATTTCTAAGACATCTGTGGTCAAATACGAGTATCTTCTACTCTTAATGACCGCATTTCACAGCCGTAAAGTATAATAGAACGAACTGTCGCCCAGTATACCCGTCCTTTAATTAATACACGAATATCTCGCCTTCATCATAAGTTACGTAAGTTGTCAAAAGCCAAACGAGCTTATGAATCCACGCAGAGATTTCGTCAGACCCTAACCCATTAGGGCTGATCAGATTTCCAAGATAAGTGAAGTTGTCGATGCCTTTGACTAATTCACCCCCTATCCTTAATTCAGGTGTTGACGTAGGTCAGTCCTGAAGCAATAATTTACATTTAGAGGGGGGAAACTTATTCAAACATCTTGGCACTGTTGCTCACTGCTACCAGAAGACTACATTTTATCAGCGTCTTCACCAGACAGGACTACATCGTTTGATAGCTCTATAAACTGTTAAATGAAAATGTGCATTTATACTTAGTTTCTAAACTACATAATGAATTGATATCGAGTTTCTTACTGCATAGAATAAAAACTAAACAGTTACTGTATAAATTGATTATAGAATCGCTTAACTATTTACAGACATAACAAACCACAAGATAATGATGATAATATTGAAACCATTATGCAACATCCTAGGCTAAAAGACAAGCAATATAGCTTTAAAAACGGTACGATAATTTTTTTATTTCTACTTTTCAACATCATAACTATGCTTTTTCTTGCGACCATTTACATTGTCGGGAGCCAATATTTTCTAACTTTCTTTATGGTTTTATTGTTAACTGACATACATAGTATGTTCATCTTCTTATATTCACTGCTACTTTACAATATATAAATGTTTGGTAATTCATTTGTTTTACTTTTTCCTTTAATTAGTTAGTAGAATTCCCTAAATGAAAAGATGTTCCTAGTTATAATATGTATGGTCAATTAGTTTTAATGTTAGGTGTTTTACATTTTCTGTATTTGCTTTCTAACGAACAAGTATTTGAATATCACATGTATTTGTGTTAATTTCTTTGTCTAAAGCTATATATTCTTTTAAAAAAAAATTGGAAAACAGATTAACTTAATTAATAGTATTACTCAATTTTCCTTGTTAGATGCACTCACTCAGAACGTTTAGAATATGCCAATTCTATAATGAATGACATTATAGATTCTGCCGAGAAACCATTCGATGTAAGTTTTGTTTATCATCAAAACATTCTTATATATACTTCTTTATTGGAGATTATTTTCATTGGTAAAGGACAACGGTTGTACACATTAATAATTTTTGATTTTAAAAAAAGTACTCTTGAACTATTTCTATTTGATTATGTGTGTTAATTAAGTGATTTTCTGTCAAATAACTAGAGTTAAAATTGAATTTCTCGCTTTCGATTATTTTCAAGGTACAGTAGCGACGTAGTCCACAATACCCCTCCTAGCTTATTTGTGGTACTCCATCTGTTAATGTTTAAAGTCTTGATCGGTGATTGATCTTAATTTATTAATAGTATTGTTTCATGTTTATCAATCTTCATAGTTTTATGTTGGGTTAGAATTTATCGATTTAATTTCATACATTTAGTAGTAGATGACAACCAACATTCAACTCCCTATCTTTGGTGGCTTAACAATAATTATTTTATGATACTCAACTACTATTTTTTGAAGCGAAATAAATTATTATGTTACCTATTTTAATGATAGTTTTCTTATTAAACTAATGTTAATACAAGCTCATTGTCTATTTAATCTTAATTTCTCGGCACTAATCAGATTAAAATCATTGTACCTGGTAAAACTATAAGGAAACAAATGTAATTCCACTAATTTTTAACTGAAGTTAGTAGTTCAAACGATTCAAATATACACTTTTGAACCTACAGTTAAATTAGTATTGGAAAATGGGTAAGATCCATTCTGAATTCGACCTCATGATCTTAAAAAGATTTCACATTTTATCAACATTAAACTATTTGTTTACTTTAAGGTGATCAGAATACCTTAAATGCTACCTTCGTCCTTATATGTGAAAATTATATAAATACATATAAAATTCATTCATTTATCTTCACATCGTGAACTGTTCACATCATTCTCATATAACCGACTCATGTTATCCTACTTACTAAATTCAACATCTGAATATGATTGGATAACCATAGTAAAGATTTGATTTGATTTTTGAACATTATACATTTCTTTGGTGATTTTGGTTTGGATTACTACCCTGAAGATATCCAGATAGGTTTGCCAAATGAAACGTTAGAATTAGTTAGATTTCAATCACTGAGATTATTTCAAATATAATTTTTACAAATAATGTCTTCTGTATACTCGGTGTCTAATTTCTGTCAAACTATTCGTTCTAATATTGACGAGTATCCGTATAAATCAATTAGTCCTCTGAAAGGAAATTTTATTTCTCACTGGTCACTACTTAACTAATGAAAAGCATCCGCTGGATTAATTGTCTTTTCATTTATACTGTCCAGTATTTTCCGATCTCTTTTATAGGGTAGGAGATGGTGGCAAAATCAAGCAGAGCCTTGGCAAATCTTAGCTTGTTCTATGGAATTGAAGGACGCTTTGTCACATCCATCTGGACCAGAATCATATGTTTCTCATTTTCCTGTTCATCAAGATGGTTCTTGTAATGGATTACAACATTACGCCGCCTTAGGTCGTGATCTTCGAGGTGCAAAATCAGTTAATCTTACTAGTATGGATTGTCCACAAGATTTGTACAGTGACGTTGTTGAAATCGTAAGTATTCATTAATCTATCTACACAACTCTGTATTCCTATATTAAGGTGCTTTAATTAATGCATATCTTAACTTGAGTCTTTCTTAAAGCATTCCGTTTCTCCTTTTACTAGGTAGAAGAACAAAGGCGTATCGATGCAGATGGCGGGAACTCTATTGCTAAGACACTTGAAGGTTTTGTTCGGCGTAAGGTGATCAAACAGTCTATTATGACTACGGTTTATGGTGTTACTTCATATGGGGCTACTGAACAAATCCGTAAACAACTTCGTGACTTACCTGATTTCCCCAAAGAGTCTTTACTCCCTGCTTCTAGATATTTAGCTCGTTTAACACTCAGCAGTATCGAAAAAGTGTTTACATCTTCAGTGGATATTCAAAATTGGCTTTGCAAAGTAATCATCTTGTCGATTAATGTCTTACCATTCTTATTGTAACAGTTTATTTTGATCTTTATGTGACTTGATTTTCAATACTGTTTTCGTTTTACCATATAGCTAAATTCACCATTATTTCTTTTGAGGATTTTTCACGCAGTTTTGTTTCAATAGCGTCCTTTAAAAACAAGTATTTACTATGGTAAAACGAGTTAGTCATATGATATAATATCGACATTTATCACTACCAACAACATTTTCAGTGACTTTCACTGTTACATTTGCATTCTGCATAAAACATCCTCTTGCACATTTTATAGTTTGCTTCTAAAGCAGTAGTTTTTCTTAGTCAAAGCACTGAAACTCTAACTGTTAAGCTACAGATTTTAACCTCACTTCACTTATGTTATGTCATTTAAGTAGTATAATTATTTTTTGCAATATGTAGCCTAAACGAGGACATAGAGGTTAGTATCCTGTTACTGTGTTTTTACATTAAATCTCACAGTTGCATACCTACGAAGGTTTTGAATTTCGAATAACGTTTTAAGATTTTCTTCTCATATAGGTTTTATGCTATAGGTTACTCTACTCTGTAATATTTTTTTAGATACTGTCAGTTACAACAAGTAAACCTAATAACATTCGTTGCTATATGTCATGTAATTTCCAGTATCGTTGCAGAACTTATCATGATAATATGCTTTTAAGCTATAGTTAAATTGTTGTTCATGAATGAAAGGAATTTATCCAAAATACACACTATTATGGATAGCTCCATTGCGAGTTACTTATTTTTGATTTTCCTTCAAGCATCATAAATCTGACATCATCTCATTAGTTACAAAATATGCTTATCCTAAAATATATTCACAGTGAGTGTACAGACAGGTAACAGTAGTCAAAGCATAGAGAACAAAATTAGTAAATGATAAGAGTCGTGAGGAAAAATGAAACATTGAAATCATGAATTGGTCAATGTTAGACCACCATTAAAAACCTGGAAGCACAAGATGGTCATTTTGCCTTAATGTAGGACTTCTCAGCAGTGCGCATCCACGATCCTGTACATGGAGTTCCAATCCTGGACCTTTGGTCTCGCGCAAACGCCTAATCTCTAGACCACTGAGTTGGCATCCACACAGTGCTAATGTCCAGCTTTAATGAACGCACGATGTGGAGCGATCATCTTCCGTTGCATGTCGGCTCAATGGTCTAAGGATTCAGTGTTTGCGCGAAACCGAAGGTCTCGGATTCGAAGCCCATGTGCAGGATCGTGGATGCGCACTGTTCCAAGGTTTTCAATGGTGGTCTGATTTAGATAGGTTCGTGATTTCAATGAAATTCTACAATCTCCACAATCCCAAACCAAAGAAAGGAAGTACTTCCAGCAAAATACACTAAGAATTTTTTACCGCTTAGTCACCAATCGTAATCAACCTTAAACCTGACACATATGTACGCCAGCATCAGGAAAGAAATTAACAAACTGAACAACAATGAAGTCGAACTAACCGTAGTGGCCAATGCGAATGACTAAACATTAAGGATATGGTTCGAGAAGTAGTGAAACTCAAGATCTAGAGGAAGATAAAATGTGAATAGATATGCACTGCCGCTACCTATTCTGAGCTGTCACCCAACATTTCCGACCACTGGTTACACAGACTCTAACCAGGTAGTCTGCACCTACCGATATTATTCAAACCAACCGTCAGTAACTTTATGGACTGATGCCACGTCTTTGTTTGACCGCCCTTATCTTTCTTCCAACTTAATATCACTCGAGCCAACATTGCATTTCGAGGTATGCAATGATTATGAACATGTTGCACATGTCTCAGTCAATAGAAATGTTCAGCTTTATATGCCAACCTGTTATTTTTTATCTAGCGTTGCTGATTTAGTTATGCCAGGATGCACAGACAATACCTCGGTGACACATATGATCAAAAACCTTCAGCCTACCGATGTTCTTTACTTTCGTAGCCCATGTTTCACATCTATAGAAAATTACAGAGCGAACTGCCACACTGTCTATCCGCGATACTGTTTGGAGATGGTTATCTCACCTACACCACGTGTGAAGCAAGTTGGTAAAATCCAAAATAAACTGCCTTAGTCTGTCCGAAGACTTCATCGGATACCAATGCACTAAAACTAATGAGACCTCTAAAATAAGTACACTGATCACTTTCTTTTTATTAACTGTTCCTGTGCAATAGAATACTTAATTACTAAGTTTTCAAATATCAATGCCAAGGGTGGACTTGATAGTTTCAAATAAATTGAGCATTGAGGGATATATATATATATATATATATATATATATATATATATATATATATATATATAGAGAGAGAGAGAGAGATACACTCATTGGGATATCACAAGTAGTATATTTATCAATACCTAATTATATTTCGACCGTCACGTTTGTCTCCCTAAAACAATAAAATCATTTATTTTAAAATGAGAGTACCCATACTTCACACCACTCTTACGGGAATGTATTAATCAACTTTGAAGATGATTCAAAAACAAATTAGTGAAAGCCAAATAGGATAGGAAATTATCTACTGGGTACATTGTTTATGCCTGTATAAGGGTGGAGAGTTGCGTGAAATGAATCAGATAACCAAACAAAATACCATAAGATTGACTTGAAATCCAGATATGATTTGGACCCACTTGTGTAGAACTTCAAATCACTAATTTAGAACTTAATTCTCATTCACCAGTATCTCATGTTTTCCAAGTAAGTGGTATGTAAAAATCTGTTTCTAGTCTAATTTATTAGTATTTTTTAACTTTTCTCTTAGATTGCCAAATATATATCTGGAGATTTTCAACACAGAGTTAGCTGGCAAACTCCTCTTGGTCTTCCAGTTATACAACCATATATCCAATCAAATAAAAGTTCAACTGATTCTGATGATTATACAGTTGACTTTTATAGTCAACTCATTGACAATAATCAGAAACAAATAGATTTAATAAAGAACGATAAAATTGGTGACAAATTGATATCGTTGCCAAAATCATCTAAACAGACAAGTGCTTTTCCACCGAATTTTATTCACTCATTAGATTCATGTCATATGATGTTAACGGGTTTGCAATGCTTAAAAGAAGGCATTGTTTTCGCTTCTGTACATGATTGTTTTTGGACTCATGCAGCTACTGTAGATAAGTTGAATCGAGTAAGCACTTTAATTCACATTAATTATTAATATCCCCTCTGTTTTTCCTTATCTCTTAGTTCATGATATTGTGTATTTTAGAATGTTGAGTAAATAACCGACACTGTGAAATTGAGGTTATTTATCTTCTTGTTTAGTCTGTTTTGGGCAATATCTTACTAATCCAACTACAAAGTCAACAACTTATGTAATGTGTAATATGATTAGACTTCATCGACATGAAATGCTTCTTATAGTTCATTTCTCACGCTTGCAAGTACTTGACATAATAGCGCTTATTACATGGGTTCTCATTCTCTCCTTTATGTGGAGTATGGTATACCAAGCGTTCACTTAGGTTACTCAAAGGTTTTATGCACACGCATTCAATACTCTCAGTTTTAGTTAAAACTGTGTAGTTCGAAAATGTTATAACTACCAGTTTCTTAATTTATCTAATAACCATCTTTTGGTTTATTCGACTGTAATAACAAACATTTTGTTGATAATGATAGTAATAATAGTGATGAGAACTGTCTTTAAGCAATAGAAAACACTAAAATCACAAATTACGTGAAAAACATAAATACTTGTAACACTGGGTCTTCTTTTGCATCATATGAGATATAGTGTACAGTTATTAAATTACGTTACTTTATTGGAATAATATTGCGTTCAATAGTATGTACAAAATAGAAATCACATATGCGAGCAAAGAATAAAAACATTTTGGAGTTCTATTTTGCTTCAGAAGAACCTAGTACTTGCCTGTCGTCGTTAATCAAACCACTTGTTTAACGAAATTCTTCGAATAAAGCACTTAAAAACAATAGGATAGAGTACATTGGAGTAGTTACCTTTTGCCTCCTATTAGGATGATGACGATTAATCTCATTTTCGGACTCACGAATTCTATTGGGCACCAAATCTTTTGGGATAAACATGAAAATATATAATAATACAAGATGGAATGTCACTTCACACTTACAAACTGCACTTTCATATTTCCTCTTCATACAAATATTCGCATACTTTTGTACATCAATACCAAAATTTCAAAATTCTCATAATTTAACTTTTTCATACTACTTTATTCATAGATATGCCGTGAAGAATTTATTGCCCTTCACAGTCAACCAATATTAAGCGATTTTGCTGATTATGTAAAACAAAGGTTTGGATATACAGACAAGTATGTTGATATTTTTAACTTTATACAACTCCAAAGGTGTTTTCATATATTGAGATGATGAAGAAACTTGAAGACCTCACTCCTACGTAAATGTTTTGCTGATGTTGTGCATAAGGACAACGAAAACTTCACAACTGACTAGACCAGCCATCTCAGAGAATGAAACTCCACCGATTGTCATATAACTTTTGTCAACAATGAAATAGGGCAACAATCGAGTTTGATTGTCAGTCAGTGACAACGTAGGAATAGGCACATATATGCATCGGTCCAAGTTGTCATACCTCGTTAGCACAACAACATGAACACCGGATTCATAGAAGTAATTAATTTAGTGGCGGTAGTATATAAAGAAAGGTTGTATATAGTATATAGTATAGGAAGGAAAAACGTTATGAAGCAATTTTAATCTCAAGGTTTAAGGGAAAATAAAGAGTGTATACACCTACGCCATTGTGATCGATTCTGAGCCATGTCACTCAGAGTCTCCAACCATTGGTTACGATAGTCACGCGGACCCCAACCAGGTAGTCTGCATCTACCAACATGGCTCAGACGAGAAGTTAGTGACTTCAAGCACTGATGCCATGCTTTGGTTTGGCCGCCCCTAACTCTCTTCCAACCATCACCAATACTAGTCAACATTGCGCGTCGTGGTAATCGATGTTCAGGCATACGTAACACGTGGCCCAACCATTTCAGTCGATGAAGATTCACAACCTCATCAACTGATTTACCATCATTCCTTAATACCCTGTGTATAACCTCACTATTACTTACCCGGTTATCCCAGCAGATGCGAGCAATATTTCTAAGGCATCTGTGGTCAAATACTAGTAATCTACGAGTATCTTCTACTCTTAATGGCCATGTTTCTCAGCCGTAAAGTAGAACAGAACGAACTGCTGCGCAGTATACTCGTCCCTTAATTGATAGACGGATATCTCTTCTTCGCCATAGGTGACGTAAGTTGGCAAAAGCCAAACGAGCTGTTTGAATCCGTGCTGATATTTCGTCAGACACCGACTCGTTAGGGCTGATCAGACTTCCAAGATAAGTGAAGTTGTCGACGCGTTCGACTACTTCACTCCCTATCCTTAGTTCAGGTGTTGATGCAGGCCAGTCCTGGAGTAACAATTTACATTTGGATGGGGAGAAACGCATCCCAAACATCCTGGCATTATTACTCAGTTCTAACAGAAGACTCTGCATTTTGTCAGTGTCTTCACCAAACAGGACTATGTCGTCTGCGTATTCTAAGTCGATAAGTGAACCTCCTGGTAGAAGATCAATTCCTGAAAATTCAGTCGACGAGAGTGTTATTTTCAGCAACAGGTCTGTAATGAAGTTAAACAAAAATAGGGGTTGTGGACAGCCTTGACGGACACCACTTGAGGTTGTAAAATCATATGACAGTTCGCCATAAGCTCTCACTCGACTGGTAGTGTTCGAGTAAAGAGCCTTCACAAGGTTTATGTACTTCTCAGGTACACCTTTCAGTGACAGACACTACCACAGAACCTCTCGGTCTACAGAGTCAAATGCTGCTTTCAAGTCACGAAAAACTATCATTGTCGGACGCCGATAAGCATGTCTGTGTTCTAAAACTTCACGAATGGTGAATATGT